AATTATTCTTTAATCTAAACCAAAAACAAAAAAAGATATTGCCAGATAGACATTCCCTCCTTTGATTTTGAACTTCTTTCTCTGGTTTAATCCAACGTCAGCTGGTTTATGTGCTGTCTCCTTTAGATTTTAGTGAGTTTTGTTACAAACAGATGGCTCCATGTGTGCTCAGCCAGCAGTTGGCCTTAGTGACCCATCCTGAATTCCCCATTCCTTAACCCATTCGCGCCGGGTAAAAATGAACAAAAAACGGGGGGAAATTCTGTGCTCATTTCTTATACTTTTTATGAAATTTTTCTACACTAGATGGCTCTGCCTTACCTGATTTCATTTGGCAGGAAAATGTATTTTTACTAGTACAATGAATATCGATAGTTATTTTTTATTATAAACATTATAATTACTATAATGTTAGTAACAGCAAAGTAAGATAAAGTATAATATTTTCGTAAATTAAAGAAAAGGGTAAACAGGCGAGACAGGCAGTACAAGTACAAGTGCAGCCATCCATGTGTAAAAACAATTAAACAAGTAAACTCACAGTGGGCCCGTCACATATATGGGACACCCGGCGTGAATGGGTTAAGTAGGTGGGGAAATGTGTTTTTCTTTCCATTACTATTGATATTGACATTGTTATTATTCTGCTTGATGTTATGATTATTTAATTGTTATTAAGATATTAATAACATCAAAGACAATAAAGTAATAGAAATGAAGCTTTCAAAAAATGAAGAAAAAGGGTAAAAGGATGAGATAGGTAAGACTAATAACTGACTCCTTGGTGACTAAGCACTTGTAGAGCCACATATATGTAAAGACAATATATAAACCTTTATTACAGGGGGCATGGCATTGTAGTCATGCCACCCACTGACATTGGGTTAAGAGGTGACTGAAGTATTGTTTTTCAAAAAATTGCATTCTTTGTTATATAGAATTGTTAGATATTATTTCATGTTCTAATTTCTCTTCCATGCTCTTCATTTGTAGACGGACAGTGTGGAAGAACAAATGGGAGATGACATATGTAGGCCCCTCACAAGTGCTCGTCAAACCTCTAGCTGGTTCTGGCCCATTTGGCAGCAGAGGTGTAATTCTCAGATCACAGTATGGCTTTGAGATTCATGATGTCAGGATAATGGGTAAGATTTAAGAACTTTATAATTTCATGTAATATTCAATATTTGAATTTATACAGTTATTTTTTCCAAATGCAAATTGAAATGTCTTGAGAATTATTGTACATGGTAATAGTTTTTTTTGATATGACAATCATCATTTCAAAAATGTATCATGACCATTGCATTAGTGTTATAATCTGTACATGTAAGACAGAAGGGATCATATAAACAGAACAGTTTCATCATGTTAGATTTTCCCAGCTGATGTCTAACAAATGTATGTAAACTCTACATACCTATGTTTACATACATACTTTTATGAGCAAATGTATACAGGTCAAGAGTTGGTTTTCTATAACCTATTTAGTGTTTCTGACTATTGTAGCTGCTGTATATAAGCATTTTCAGATATTGATAAGGCATTTCTACCCATCTTTTGTGCATTTTTATGATAGCCTGCATAGTTTAACCTCAGTCATGGCTTCAATGAGTACAGGAATGGATAAATGTTGAAGATGCACCTGCTTTTCATCATTAGGCTATATTGACTCTGACGTTGTGTAGATAGGTGTACTTTTGGAGCAAAAAGCAAATGGAGTAGAATGCACTGATGAAAATAAAGAAAGTGTAGGTGAAAGTGTCTGTTAACAGAATAATTCAGTTGTATGCTGAACACACTAATTTTGGTGAAATTGAAGAAGATCCAGGTACAGGTGATGTGCCCATGGGGTGCCAAGAGAACCAGAGGAGGGATAGGACGGCAGCAAGAAATAAATAGATGATAAAAATGATGAGAAAATATTCCAATCAGATGAGTTCACCTTCCTATAAATACTATTTTGGTGCTCTTTCACTATCCATGAGTGAGAATGCCCTTCACCAGGCAGCAGGCATTCTTGACATTCATCAGAGGCTCAGTAGCACCTTTTATGATTAATTACAACAGTTTAATTTTGGACTAGTTATTTAGTATGCAAAAAGTTATATTAATTTATTTTTAAGAAATCCTGTACTTCAAGAAATTCTCTGAAATGTGTAGTTTGAGCAACTTTCTTTTTTTTAGAAATTCATAAATATTTTTGATTATGTTGGATAAAAAGAAAAAAAAAATATATATATATCAAAACAATTATGCTGTCCTTGCCAAGTTTAATCCTTCAATACTGATATTTTTAAGAATGTTTTAAGCAGAAACCAAATAATAATGAAGAAATAATAATCAGCAGCAGAAGAGGCAATGGTAGTGGCTGAGGAGCAGCTAGAGTTTGTGGTTGTGTTTTGCATGCTCAATTCTGAGTGCTATGCACATTTGAGAAGTGATCTTAGCTGAATTTTAAATTAATTAAGTCATTTTTTGTATAATGAACTTTTCAGTACCAATTGTTATTGTGACCTCTTCTGTTATGCACCAGTTTTCTAGTGATGCCAGAAAATAGTTTGTAAATCAGCACCTTCATATACACTTGGAAAAAAAGGAGATGTACAAAATTCTGTGTTATAATAATTCCTAGCACATTTTCCTCTACAGGCAAGGATAGATACTTAGTAGCAAGGACCAATGAAACAATCTTGCTTGGAGATTTACATAGAAACTTGCTTAGTGAAGTTCATTGGGGTGCTGAACCAGGCACAGAGAAATTCTATTTTGATAATGAAAATGTCTGCATGATCTTCAGTGCAGGAGAACTCTCATTGGTTGAATATGGCAACAATGATATTCTGGGGTCTGTGAGGTAAGTTACCTTTAGAGTGCTTCATTTGGAGTGCCATATCTCTGAGAAAATTAGATGCTGCCTCTTAGCTTTAGTTTTGTACATAGTCAGAATCCTCATCATTCATTATTCTATGTTGTGTTGAACTGTAAAATCAGTACAAAGTTTTTTGTCTTTTCTTTTCTTTTTTAATAAAAATGGTTATTTTATATTACTAGACAGTACACAATAACTGAAAAAAAACTAAATAGTAGATCAGACGAATTTATATTATGATTGAAATTTCCTATATCAACCACTTAGCATTTTGCATGAAAATTTATATTTATTTACTGCTCCACACAGAACTGAATTCATGAACCCACATCTGATTAGTGTAAGACTGAATGAGCGTCGTCAGAGAGGCATTGAGGACAACAAAAAAATGGCTTATTTATTAGATCTGAAGACAATATGTATGGGTAAGTGTATATATGATTTTTTTCGTTTTCCTTCTTCTTATATCCCGCAGTCTTACTTCTGTTATTTCAGTGATATGAGTCGTCTGATATGAAAACATCTACTAAAGAAACTTGTTTTACTCTTCACAGTGGATCTAGTCTTTGGCGTAACAATTGGTCAAGTTACTCATGACTCTCGAATTGACTGGCTTGAACTGAATGAGACGGGAACACAACTTTTATTCAGGGACAAAAGGCAAAGACTACTGCTTATCAATGTTGGTTCATTACAGAAGACATCTATACTAAATTACTCAACTTTTGTACAGGTAAGTTCTGTTTTATTACTAAGTATTTTTTAAACTTGAGAAATAGAGAGAATATTTTTTTTTTTATGTGTAAAGCTTTTGATAAATTAAATTTATTGAACATCATCACAGTGGGTGCCAGGTAGTGATGTGGTGGTAGCACAGAGTCGAGAGCAACTTTGTGTTTGGTACAACATTGATATTCCTGAGCGAGTCACAACATTCCAAATCAAAGGAGAGGTCGTGGATGTGGAAAGAGCTGATGGACGAACAGAGGTAACTAGATTTGAAATAAATCTTTATCCCCTTTTTGTCTACCCATGCTTCTCCTTCCACTCTAAAACAGATGCACATGCAAGTTCATATATAGAAGGGGTTATTATTTAATAGTTTAAGAGCTTCACTATAACATTAAATAATATTGGATATAAGATAATGAATTTACCAAAAAGTTTTTTTGTTTTTTTATTCAACTTATTAACTTTTCAGGTTATAGTACAAGATGGAGTTCAAGAGTTGTCTTATGCACTTGATGAAGGGCTTATTGAATTTGGAACAGCTGTTGATGATGGAGACTTTTTGAGAGCCATGAATTACTTGGAGGTAATTCCTTAATTACTGATTTAGAGTTTGATAATGTGTAATATTACTTTGCTAGCATTAGTAAAAAATTACTTCATATATATTTTTTTCTTTCTTTCTTTCTTTCTTTCCTTTCTTTAGTCACTACCTATGACTGCTGAGGCAGAAACAATGTGGCGTACTCTTGCCAGGCTTACACTAGAAGGAAGGCAACTGTATATTGCTGAAAGATGTTTTGCTGCTTTGGGAGATGTATCCAAAGTGAGGTACCTGCAAGGCATTAACCACATCAGGCAGCTTATTCAAGAAAATTCAGGTGACTTAGATCATTTGAGTGAAGTATACGTTATATATCAGTTGCATCTAATTAGCAAAGTATATACATTTCAAGACCAATATATATATATACATACATATATATATATATATATATATATATTATATATATATATATATATATATATATATATATATATATATATATATATATATATATATATATATATATATATATATACACACACACACACACATATACACATACATATATACATACGTACATACATACGTACATACATACATACATACATACATACATACATATATACATACATATATACATACATATATATATAAATATATATATATATATATATATATATATATATATATATATATATATATATATATATATATATATATATATTCATTTATATATTTTCATTTATATATATTTAAAATTTCAGGTGAAGATGGGGTGAACCACCATGAAGTGCAGGCTCGACTAGCCATTCTGGACAAACAGTTCAAAACTGCAGAGAGCATCTATCTGGATTACAACAACCTGGGTGCTGCTATGGAGATGTATCAGGAGTTGCACAAATGGGATGAAGGTAGGTTGCATTTATTGCATACATTATTTGCATCAGGTAGGGTTTTATTGAATTTAAACAGTTGCTAAACACAGAAAACTGAGGTTTTCTTTCCTTCTTTGATTTTGTATCTCTTCTATTTTTGAAAAAGAAAATTGTTAGTTTCAATGATCTTTATAAATGCTAATATTATAATAAAACTTGAAAAATATATAAAAGTCCTTTTTCACAAGATTGAAATTTGCACACACATGAACCAGAGTAGAATTTTACCAAAAATTGTATATCTTTATAGAACCTATAATCCATTAAAATAATATTGATACAAATCTAATAACAATTAAATTATTAAGAAACAACATTCTGGCAGAATCAGCATTTATTACTTAACAACCATGACTGTAAAATATCAGTGAGTACAAAATTCTCAACTTTGAAATCTATAGCTGTTCAGCTGGCTGAAGTTAAAGGACATCCAGAGGTGGAATCCCTTCGAAGAGCACACTTGCAGTGGCTTCTGGAAACACACCAAGAGGAGAAGGCTGGACAAATGAAAGAGGCTGAAGGTGACTACATGGCTGCCATCAACATGTATCTTAGGGCTGGAATGCCTGCAAAAGCTTCAAGGTAATTATTGATATCCAATCTTTATAAGAGGAAGATATAGATTTGTGGATGCTTTGCTAATAGTGTTTCAGTTTCTCGTTATTAGGGTTCCAAAAGTTTTTCACATATGTATGTCAGCAATTGCATAAGAAACTAAAATAAGAGAAGAAAGAAATTAAAATATGAAATTGAATAAATATATATAAAATGTATGAAATTTATTCCAGAATATATATTTGTGTGTGTGTGTGTGTATACCAAAATTTGAAAGTTTGTGTGCACTGCTAACAAGAACTACAATATATGTGAACAGTGCCTGTCTACTTTCCAGCTACCAAAACAGACTGAAGCCACCCCTTTCTCATCAGTGCACTCTCAGGTGCTATTAAGTTTTGACATTGATTAATCTCCCTTTTTTTAATATTTGAATTTTTATTAAATAAGAAAAGTATCCCAGCCATTCTGACAACACTCAGAAAGCTCTAGGCAGAGTTTCATAAGAAATTACAAAAAAATAAACATGCTTGAGGGATTTACAACCCCTTCCACCTCCCCATTAGATAGTCTCTTGGGAAGGTGCTCATGTATATTTGTATTTTTGGAAGTTGTTTGTTTGAGAAAAGGGAATGGGAAATACAGTGCCATGTAGCATTTTCAGGTATCTTAGACTAGTTAACAACATTATCCTGTGATATATACACTCAGGACTCAAAGAGGAAATTGATGAAAATTACAAGGGAATGCAAGAAATAACAGTGCAAGGGGTTGAAAATTTCATTTAACTTAGTCTATAAAGGACTCAGATATTTTTAAGAAAATGACAATATTCCCTGTCATACGGAAAGAGTTGGAAAGTGTTTTATCGTTGCTATAGTGAGATTTAGAAGCATGAGATGCTGGAAAGAAGCAGACTATCCCTCATTCTTTTTTTAACCCAGTCATAGTGGGAGTACCCAGTGTAGTACTTAATAATTCATCAGGGTGTGTGTGTGGAGTCAGCTGCTTGGGGGAAAAATCTAAAGCACAGGAAACATACCATTACCCTAGTCTATGCTCTTTGCTGTGGCATAAATTATTTTGAAGAGGCTGAGACTAAGAATTGCTTCTTAACAAATGCTGCCAGAGCCAAACAAGTGCACAGGTGTTAAGCATGCACAACTTGAGCAGGCTCTGCTGCACATGATATAAAGGCTTCATCCTGCCATCAGCGGTATAATGTGATAGGACATCATCTGCTTTCTCCCAGTGTTACTGGGTTACCAACATCATATAGAATGCTTGATGATCCTTGCAAATCCACTTAAACTACTTGTAATTCTATCACAAGAAACCTGGTTGAAAATTAAAGTGAGGTGAATAAAGTAAAAGTTGATGATCCTCTTCAATTTATCTGTGCATATTCTGATCCTCATTCTCACCACCTCTGCCATGCACTGGCGGCTATCCTTCCAAATTTTTGTATTAACCTTTTGTCAGTAAAAATTTAGATATTTTTTTTTCTAGTATTATTTTAAGAATATATTTAAATAGACTACATGCCTCAGCATACCACTGAATATTACCATCCTGGTCCACATTACATCATTTTATAATGTATTCCAATGGAAAACTGTCATATGTTTCTGGTCCATATTGACCAGATAATGGGGATCCCCAAAATAGAAAATGTAACTTTTATATAAAACGTGTTAATTGACTGACAAACTGATTCTTCACCTAGATTGGTCTCTAGTGTTGATGAGCTGCGTGATGATCCAGATCTAGTTGGCCGCATTACCAATGCACTTCTCAAAGTTGAATTATATGAGCAGGCAGGAGATTTGTATGAGAGGGTTGGACAACCCCAAAAAGCCATG